AGGGGCGGGGAAAACGGGGGTCCCAATTAGTGGGTGGAAGTTCTGCCACCCCCCCCCGTGTGCAGAGCCAGGGCGCCCTGGCCTGGGGAGCTCAGGGAGTGAGCAGGGGCTCAGGCTCTTCCCCCCTCGTATCCCAGCCCCCCTGGCGCAGAGTTGCGCTCCAGAAACGGTGGTGGAGACAGCAGAGGTGTGAGGGGCCTTGCACACTTCGGCCCCGAGGCGGGGGCAGGCTCGCCCGCTTCATGGATGGAGTCGCTGCCTTGGCTTGTGCTGGGAGTGGGCAACAGGGCTTGGCCGGCCAGGAAGGGGGGCTCTGCGGTCAGGGGGTATGCTAGTAATGCCACCATCTCCTTGCAAGCTACGGGGTGCTTGCCATGGGTCCGACAGCATTCTAAGCAGCTCGCTGAAGTCTTCTAACCTCGTGCACAAAGCTACAAGCAGGTATTCTCAGTGTCCTCACTGTGTACGTAAAGGCACCCGCAGCACGGGAGGTTAAGTAATGCGTCTGAGCCCCCAGGGCCGCGCAGGGGTGGTGCTGGGATTTGAAGAACAGGATCCCATATCGGAGCCCGTACATGGCATGGAACGTGAGCAGAGGCACAGAGGGAGGCCAAGGTGCCCTCTGCTATGAGGGACCCGCCCCCCCCAGGCAGAAAAGGAAACCGGCGGAAGAGCTGACTTGATTTAGAATCCGAAAAGCAGCAAAGGGAAAGGTCCTCTTTCTTTCCCACCCAGAGTGCCTGTGGCCACCCAGGTGCGCCCAACTCCCCGTGGGGGGCCAGCCTCCTGCTGGGCAGCTCTGAGGGCATCACCGAGCCCCCCCCCCCAACACCTGCTATCTTTCATCAAGTGGTGTCCCACCCAGCTGGAGCGTTAGCGGGGTGCTGGGTGCTGGGGTCTCAAGTCTGTCTAGTAGGGCCTGGAGCGCTGTGCTGAGAGGGTGAGCCTAGGCCTGAGGTTGGCAGGAAGGGGTGCCAGGACCTGCCAGAGATGCCTGAGACAGCCCGGGCGTGGGGCACTGTGGCCGGACACCCCCAGCTGACGGCCACCTCCAGTAGAGAGGGCGAGACCCCCACACCAGTGCGATGCCAACACCGAGCTGGCATCGGTCCACACTGGAAAACATGGGAGCCCCCTCCCCCCGCCCCCCGCTCAAGGTCCCGGGGCTCCTAACATCCCCTCTGTCCCGGAGCCAAAGTGGACCCTCCTGCAGCCCCTTCAGGCTGGTTTCCCCTTGGCCCTCCTGCTCTGTCGGGGCTTCTGGACGCGGGGGCCGAGGAGCTGCTAGCGTGCCGCCGCCAGAACTCGGGGGGCCCTGTCTGAGGGCTTGTGGGGTACAGGCGGGCGGAGGCGGGCTGGGGCCCTGCACGTGCACAGCCAGGCCGATGGCAGCGAGACCGGACAGCCTGAGCCCCGTCCTCGTCAACACCCGGTTAATGCCCTGTCAGCGGCTAGTTACCGCCAGCAGCACGAGGCAAGGAGGGAGGGACCCCCAAGTGCCCCCTCCAATGCTAACAGGGAGGGGCTGACAGGCTCGTAGGGTGCCCTGGGGTCGGGAGGGGGCTGCACCAGTTCCCTAGGGGAAGGGGGTGGCCCGGTGGGGGGTTGTTCAGAGCTCTGGTGGGGGGGGGGGGGGGGGGGGGGCGGCCGGGGGGCGGGGGGGCCGGGGCGGGGGGGGGGGGGGCCCATCCCCCCCCGGGCGGGGGGGGGCCGGGGGGGGGGGGTTGTTTTCCTCGGGGCGCCCCCCCCCCCCCCCCCCCCCGGCCTTTTAAAACCATTTCTTTTTCAATTAAAAAGGAACAAAAAGCAGTAGAAAGTCTTAAAGCCTTGGTGTCAGGCCCCCCTGGGCCTGGGTTTGGATCCGGCCCCTTGTAGCTCCCGGGCAGACCAGCCGGCCTCTCCGACCTCTTCCGGTTTCTGCGGCTGTGAAAAGCGAGGGCACGTCTACCTTCTGAAAAGCTTCAAGCCGGGGTGGTGACTCCCCCGCTCCTTCCCTTTGCTCACAGCTCGAAAGACTAAGAAACAACATCATGCAGGCCACCTTCAGCACCTCCGGGATCAAGTCCTTGGCCACTGAGATCTCTGACAATGACATTCTGGAGGCCTTGCAGGTACATTTGGCGCTGGGCTGCCTCCTTGTCCCCGAGGCCGCGTCTCCGGGCGGGAGCTGACTAATTTGCAGCCAGAGGCGGAGGGGAGAAGACAGCATGGATGCCACGGACCCCCATTCTGGTTCTGTGTCACTGTTCGCCGTCACCCGGGGATCATGCTTACTCTCTGCTCAGGCAGAGGGGGACCGGACCCCCCGAAAGGGTGGCGATGTTGTACAGGTGGCGAGGCTAGCCGCTCTCGGCCTTCGGTGACCCCCAGCAGCAAGTCCGCGGGGCATGCACAGGGGCGGGGGGCCCAGCTGCTGGAGTCCTGGAGGTTCCCCCGCAGCAGGGACCCCGGCCCACCCAGCCTCTTCAGGGATGCTTCTCGGCACCTCGGCGTGGCCTCAGCTGGGATAGTCATCTGTTCAGGCAGGACCCTGGCACAGACCCCTCCCTGGCCTTGGCCCGCGCTGTCATCTTGCTGACCCCAAACAGAGGCCTCACAGGGGCACCGTGGTGCAGGGAACATGGTGCAGACTTTGGGGCCGGCAGGGGTCAGTCACCACCCCTGTGGTCCTCGGCTGAGAAGCTGTGGCCGGGTCACTTGAGTTCAGAGCCACGGAGTTTCCCTCTGCACGTGGGAGACAGCGCGTCTGCCTCGAGGCGTGGTGGGGAGAGGGCCCTGGGAGCCGAGCCCCTGACCCAAACGTGCTCTGTGCAGCCCGGTGTGCTGCTCAGAGGGGCTGCTTCGGTCCCCACGCCGCAAGCCTCCCACGGCAGGGCGCTTGCCACCAGGGCCTGTCCCCTTCCAGCGCCCCGCGTTTCCCTGAGACCTGATTTCTTTCCTCTGCGCCGTGGGGGTGGGGGTGGGGCCGCGGCCGGTGGCGATCCCGCAGGGTGGCAAAGGTCTCAGGGGAGGGGGGCCCTGCATGAGGACCTGGGGGGAGGTCTCTGCAGCCTGGCTACCGTTGCTTGGGGAGAGGGAGAGGGAGGGCGCCGCGCGGCCCCGCGCCGGCGGGGGCGGAGAGGGAGAGAGAGGGAGGGAAGGGTCCTCGGTACCACCCAGTAGTCAGGGAAGAATCCTTTCCCCTGCCAGTGTCGGACACAAAGGACACAAAACAGTGACCGGTGGTGAAGCAGGAGAGGTGAGGGAGGGGGCAGGACAGAAGGGCCTGGAGGGACAGGCTCCGTGGCCTCTGAGGTCTCTCGGTCGGGGGGCTGCTGGAGATTCGCAGGGGACCTAGTGCTGCTTCAGGGGAGAGCGACCGCAGCCCGTGGGGGGAGGGGCTCTCTTCCCCACTCCGAGTTCTGTGGGCTTCATCTCCCGGGGCCTGACCAGCAGCGGTGGGAGCGTTTTCTGCACAGAAGTTTGCAAATGCTGCAAGACCACAGCTTTTCCCCCTGGAGAGCCGGTGTCAGCGCTCAGAGCTCCGTGCAGGCCCTGCTGCCGGCTGCCCTTGGTGGGGGGGGGGTGGTGGTGGAGCAGCGGCGCCCCGCAGCCACGGCCTGTGCTCCTCCCCAGAGGATCATCTCTGAGCGAGCCGACTGCTACAATCAGCTGAAACAGAAAGGCATCAGGATGCCTCCCCTGCACCAGTCGGAGGCCCCTTCCTCCCAGAGCAAGTCCAAGAAGCTGGCCTCCAAGTAGAGCCCGCCTGCCCACGCGCCCCCCGCCCCCCAGACGCTGGGCCCCAGCTCGGGGGCCATCGTGTGTGGCCCGGTCTTCTCGCTTTAGAATTAAACCCTGTCCTTGGCCATGGGCTCAGCTTCTCTTTCCCTCCGGGACTCGTGGGGGCGCGGGTTCCATCCGCAGCCCCGATCTGCATCCCTGGCTTCTTCCTGGGGAGACCCCCACACGGAGCAAGGGCCCCCTCCAGAGGCCCTGGGCTTTGAAGGCCTGAGCCTGGGTGCCTATAGTCTCCTTCAGTTGGGCCCACGGGGGGCCACCTCCGAAATGGGGGCTTCCCTGGCTGGGGCGACCCCTTTGGAAGAGGGTGGATGGAGGCCGTTTTTCCATCACTCTGCGGGAGGGACAGCTCCAGGCGGCCGGCCAGGCACCTCTGTCTGCGTCCTGCGCACCGCAGGCTTCGGGCACATAAACGCGCTGAATGAAGGAACCCATCAGGCGCGGCTGTGCTCTCCGCCCGCACCTGTGCGCGCAGCCAGACCCGCCTCGCCCAGGGCGCGAACTGGAGGGACCAGCGGGGAGCTCCGCAGCGCCCCCCCCCCCCCCCCCCCGCCGGCCCCCCCAAACTCTCGGATCAGACCCAGGCGCGTCCGGAGGCTCCGGGCCCCCGCTTCTGCGACCGAGCCCGTCCCTGCGCGGTCTTGGTGGAGGACCCCCGCTCTCACGCCTGGGACCCCCCCAGGGCCCAGCGACTCCTTCGGCCTCTCTCCCCAGCCGCCCCTCGAGCCTGACAGCTCCTCTCCCTCGCAGCGCCCCTTTCCAGCGTGCCCTCACCCCTGCTACGCCCTCCCTCACACGCTTCTCTTTCCCGCGGTCCCCTCTCCCCTGCGGGCCCTCTCGCCCCCGCGGCACCTACTGCCTTGCTTCCCTGCAGTTTGCACGCCCTCCGGCGGCGCCCCCGGGAGCACCGGCGGCCTGGGCTCGGCTTCCCCGCTCGCTTCGCCCCTAGCCCCGCCCCTAGCCCCGCCCCAGGCCCCGCCCCTCCCGGCCGGCTACACGTCTGCGCTGCTCGGAGGCCCGGGGGCCGAGGGGCCCGTGGGACACGCGTCGGGGCGCAGCTTCCTGGTGCGGGCGGACCGCGGAGGTGGACCTGGCCGCGGCCCGCCGGGCCTGTGAGCGTCGCCCGGGAGAGCGGAATTGCGGGGTAGGAGGCGGGGGAGGGTCTGGTCCGGCCAAGCGACCCCCTCTCCCCGCCCCGGCCCAACCCGTGGAGGGACGGCCACGAGCCGGAAAGGGCCATCTGGTTCCTGCTGGCCGCCCCGGGACACCCCAGGGCTCCTCCTTTCCCTCCCCGGCTCCTCGCAGAGCCGGTCCTCTACACTTTATTTTCTGTGGGTGTTTCCCCCCCTATTTTTCAGGTTGGAGGCATCGGCCGCACCTCGGACCTTGACCTGTGGCCTGGGAGGAGGTGAGACCTACTGGCCAGGCTCTGACCACCTGACCACCTTCCTGGGCGCCTGAGTCTGGGTTTCCTCGCCAGGACTCTCCCTTTGTAAGTTGTGGGCTCCTCGGGGGTGCTTTGGGAGCGAAGGGGTCTAAGGTATGCGGTGGTACCCGCGAGGGCCCCCAGCTTGGCTGGTGGCTCTGGGCAGCACAGCCCCAGGCTCTAGCTACAGGGCGGGACCTTCCAGTGAGGGGCTGGAGAGTGAGGCCCTCAGGAGCCCAGCTCTGGGCACTTCACTGGCTTCTAGGGGCTTTGTCCAGTCAGGGCAGCTTGAAAGCCACAGTCTCCATCAGTTGGGAATGCTTTCTGGTGCACACGACGGGAACTCCTTGTCCCAGGCTTGAACAGGTGTGGGTTGAGTCTTCTCACACAAAGAAGCCCACAGGTGGGTAATGGGTGTGGATTTGGAGACCCCCACCCTGTCAGGGCTGGCGCTGCCTGGATATCCGGTAGCAAAATGGCTGCTGCAGCTCCGGCCATCACTGCAGGGCAGCCAGAAAGAAGCCGCTGCTATTTCTCTCTTGAGAGCAAAAACCCTGCAGCTCCTGCTACGCCCAGAGGCCAAGGTATTAAGCTTGAATTCGCCCCCGGCTGTCATTTAGGGCAGCACCTTGCTGCCTGGAACCGGCTAAGGATTGTGCCCCCAGGTGGAAGGAGGTGGACCTTAGGTAGACAGGTAACAGAGTCGGCCCGGTAGCCCCTTTCCCAGACCCACCTGGGAAAGTGGAACCCACACTCAGTGCGCGCTTGGCCTCCCTTGGGCCTGAGAACGGCCACTGACCCGAGTGGCTGTCACCAAGCAGGTGGCTCCCGCCTGAGAGGCAGGCCTTGAGGCTCCGAGCTGGGCTCCCTCCCTTCCTCCCACTGGCCTGGGACCCGGGAGGCACGTCAGGAGTTTAAGAACTGCTGGGTTTCAGCAGTGTCTGGGTGGGCGAGAGGCCGTTCAGGGGCCCGCTGTGCCTTTAAGCCCCTCCCCAAGTGTCCGTGGGAGGGGGTCCCGGGAAGAGAGGCGCCTGGACTCCCCCCCCCCCACAGGCCCCAGCTTCTCCCCCAGGCGGTGTCGGGGGAGGGGCTGCAAGTCGAGCAGGCCAGAGGACACAGGACAGGGCCGCCGGCCTGCCCCGGCCGGCCAGCCAGCCAGCCAGCCTGTACCAGCCGCCGCCCCGTCCCTGTCCTTCCCCGCCTCCGGGGAAGCTCTGGGGCCTGATCTGTCGGGGACGGGGAGGGGGGCAGCAGTTATCCGGCCAAGGACCCGCCGCGTCCAGTCTCCAGGGCCCAGCAGCTGTCCCGGAGGCCCCCGCGAGGGCCTGGCCTGGGTGGAGGCAGCCTCTCACATTCCTGAGGGTAGGGTTTGGCGGATTTGCAGCCTCCCTGGGTTGGATTCCCGCTTTGCCGGCTCCCATGTGACCCTGGCAAGTGGCTTGACCACTTGGCGTCGGTTCACCTGCTGAGCCAGGTGAGAAGGTTCCTGTAAAGGAGCCCGCCCTCCCTCCCCCCCCCCCCCCCCCCCCCCCCCCCCCTCAGCCCCCCTCCCCATCCCCTCAGCCCCTCCCCTGCCCCTCTGGCCGTAGCCCGGGCAGCATGCAGACCCAGCAGAGTGGCGTCCAGTACAGCAGGTGGGATGACAGCAGCCGGGACGAAGTCCACGTGGCTGCCGTGTCCAGCATGGAGGAGGCCTCAAGCTGGGCGAGGTGAGGGCTGGGGGGAGGAGCCCCGCCCGCTGGGTCACGCCCTCGGCCTGTCAGCAGAGTGCCAGGCCCTCCTCCTTCGGGGCCCACTGCCCCCCCTCCCCCCCCCCCCCCCCCCCGCCCAGCCCCCGCAGCCCCCGCAGCCCACTCGGGCTCACGTGCTGGCGGTTCCCTCTCCAGGATCTCCCGGAAGCTGTGCTCAGGCAAGCTGGGCATCGCCCTGAAGGTGCTGGGCGGAGTGGCCCTCTTCTGGGCCGTCTTCATCCTGGGCTACGTCACCGGCTACTACGTGCACAAGTGCAAATAAGGCTTCCCAGCATGCACGCATGTGCCCGGGGACGCGGGCCCGGGCGGACACCCCTGTACACCAGAATCCCCTTTGCATGCACAGACCCTCATGTACACGGATCCTCGTATACACCAGGTTTCCTCCACGTGCATAGACTCGCCGCCCCCCCACAGACCCCAGTGCGCAGCAAGCAGTCACTGGCCATCCAGGGGCACGCAGAGGAACAGGGACACAGGTCCTCGATGACATATACACATGCCTCGCACAGGCACCCAGCCAGGGGCACACGTGGCCGGGAGACTCGGCCCAGTCTGAGCTGGGACCACGGGACACACCCTCTGGGTCCTCCCTGAGCGGACGCTGTATGGGGCTGGGGGTGCCTGGGTGGGCCTCTGGGCCCTCTTGTTTTGTAAGCATGGCTCTGGGGGAGGCGGGGCTGTGTATGTCCCTCTGCCCCCCCCCCCCCCCCGGGCTGAGACCCCATCCTGGAAGTCGATCCTGGGCAGGGTGGGGAGCGGGAGCCACCCTCAAGTGTTGTCTGCGGTGGGGTGGGCATAGTTGCTCCGGGACTTGGAGCCGGCAGGAAGGCCGCTGCCCCTGCCATGCCCAGGGCGGATGGGAACCTGTGCACCGATGCAGTCTATTAAAAGTCTGTTGCATGAAGGTTGGGTGAGGGCCTCTCCCACGGGGGCCCCCCAGGCGCCTGCCCACGTGAGGCCAGCTGGAGGCCCTCGGACAACAGTGGGAGGCTTCTGGGAAGGGCCCTTCCTCCCACTTGGCTCTGGGACTCCGTGTGTGTCGGCTGCGCCCTCTGGTGGGAAGCGAGCCCCTGGGGGTCGGCCTGAGGGCTGGCGGGTGGCGGGACGTCTTCCTGCCTTGCCCAACGGACTCTCGGACTCTCGAGGCTCAGGCTGCTCCTGCCTGCCCAGCGGATTCCCGAGACCTGCCCTCCTGGGCCTGTGCTCACCCCCACCTACTTGCCGCAAGCTCACATCTCTGGCCCCGCAGACCCTTTGTGGCAGAAACACAAAGTTAGGAGAGTGCTTCTTCCCCAAGGACTGAGGGCTGGAGATGAAGGACAGACACTGTCCTTGCGGGGCTTGAGGTTGAAGGCCACGTGGCAAGCCCGTGTGTCTGAGGCTGAGCTGGAGGGGAAGGGCAGAGACCCCGGCCCCCGGCCGCCCCCCGCGCGGGGTGGGGGGGGGGGGGGGGGGGGGGGGGGGGGGGGGGG